GCCGGCCCCCCCCCCAGCGCCCCCTGCAGCTCACCCCCCCCGGCGCTGGCCCCCCCGCCGGCTCACCTCTGCATGCGCTCCTGCAGCTCGCCCACCCCACCCCTGCGCTGGCCCACCCGCCGCTCACCTCTGCATGCGCTCCTGCAGCTCGCGCTGCTTGCGGATCTCGGGGAACTGCTTCTCGTAGTACTCGCGCACCTTGCTCTCCTTGGCGCGCCGCCGCGGGTTGTTCTCGATGCGCTCCACCTTCTTCTCCCAGGCCTCCATGAGCTGGTCATAGCGCTGGCAGAACTTCTGCTCCTGGGCGGGCGGGCACGGGACGGTGGGCGCTGAGGACAGCTCCACCACGGCCGGCGCGCCTGCCCAGCCCAGCCTGCACCCACACCAGGGCTACACAGACGGCACACGTGGGCCGACAGACACAGGGGCAGGCGACAGACAAGACAGACACGGGCAGGAGACAGTCAGACATGGGCAGACGACAGACAGACATGGGCAGGCGACAGACATGGGCAGATAACAGACAGACAGACATGGGTAGATGACAGACATACACAAGCAGGTGACAGACATATACAGGCAGATGACAGACAGACACGGGCAGACGACAGACAGACAGACACGGGCAGATGACTGACAGACACAGGCAGGCAGATGACAGACAGACACACACAGAGAGGAAGACAGACAGACACATACAGGCAGACAACACGCACACACAGCAGAGGAGACGGACACACACAAAGGTGGCCAGATGGCAGACACGTGACAGACCAATGAAGGAGAGACAGACACACGCACAGAGGCAGGCAGACAGACACACAGACACACAAAATCATAAAGCTGGGAGCCATGCACACAGGCAGACACCAGGCAGATACGCAGTCCCAGGGGACGCGAGGCAGACCTGGGCCCTGACCACAGCCTACAGGCTCCCCCTGGGGCCATGGCCGCCCCTGGAGGGGGCCCGTCTACACAGCAGCCCCCAGCACACAGGGCTGCACACTGAAATCGTAAACCGAGCAGGGTTCGCCCAGGCACCACCCAGCCACACCTCCAGGGCTCGGCAGCACGGGGCTGGGGCTGTGTCTGTGTCCCCCTGGGACAGGGCGTTGGAAAGGAGGCCTGGACATGGAGGGGAAGGTGGGGTGGCAGCTACTGTGTGGGCCCTCGGGGTGTGGGTGGGCAGAGGGATGAGGCAGAAATGTCCCTCCACGATCCAAGCACCCGAGCAGCTCCTCTGCCGGCTGCCCAGCCCAGACGTCCCCCTCTAGGTCACCCCAGGGGCTCCTGCTGTGGCCACGCTATGTCCACTATGCCAGAGGGGCACTCTGGCCACCGAAGGTGAGGGCCTGGGCACCCCAGGGGGTGCTGCGGGTGGCTCTAGCCCATCCCTGGAGCCAGAGAGAAGCCACTCGGATGAAAGCAGAGCCACTCTCCTCACACACACGCATGTGTACACATGTGGGCTAGAGCTGTGGCCAGGCTGCGGGGCTGCGAGGGAGCAGGCCTGGGAGGGGCAGGCCTGCGGCCGGACTGTGAATGCAGGCAGGGCTGCCAGGGGGCGCAGTTCAGAGGCATGAATGCTATGCTGCCCAAGCCCCGGCCAGGTCTTTCCAAAAACCAGGGACTTGGGCCTGTCACTGAGAACAGGAACAGGAGGACTGCCGGTGGCCCGCTCTTGTGGCTCCAAGGCTTCTGAACCCTGGGGCTTTCATGACACCCACTCCTGACGGGAGGGCCACCCTGAATTTCTCAGACATCCCATTTCTGCCAGCCATTTCTCTAACGTTGAGAAGCTGATTCCTCTCCACCCCAAACAGACACCTCTTCCACGGAGCCAGCCAAGATTCTTTAAGGCCCATCCACACCCCAATTCCGCCTCTAGCCAGAGCCCCTTCCAATGGGATCAGACCTTCCTCTCCCTCCCACCCCAGCAGGGACCACTGGGGACATGCCTAGGTGGTCCAGCTGGAAGATCCCGGGGAACTGCTGATGACCCTGAGGTGTGACAATGGGCAAACCCCCTTCCTCTCAGGAATAGGGGATGGGCCTGGGGCCTCCGCACCCCCTTCCTTCCACAGGTCCACAGCAAACATGTCTGATCTCGGGGCGCACCCATTCCAAGGGGCACGGGGTGGGCGTCCCCTTTACTCTTCTGTCAAACTGTATGACTGAAAGCCTCGTGAAGACTTTGTATCTTACATTAGAAATTCACCGATGGGGACCGCCGATGGCATAATAGTTACGTCGCTGGACTTTCACATGTCGACGGCAGTTGGAGTCCTAGACCCGGCAGATTAAAACTCATGCCGCGTGCATGTATGTGCGTGCCCAATCCCGACAGAAGAATGGAGACGGGACTGTGGTGTGGCCGTCCCCCTGAGGGTGACCTCACTTTCTGTCTCTCCAGTGAGCGCACATGTCCTATAGCAAAAGTCTCCCCCAAAAATACAAAAGCATTCGCAGACGGAGAAGAGACCTCGGCCCAGCCTTGGTGGCATGCTGGGGAGAGGGCTGCACGGCAGCACTAGAAGCCCCATGGTGACCACGGGTTCTAGTCCCCACCTGGGCAACCTGAAACGCAGAGCAGATGGACGGCTGTGTGCCATGGACCTAGCATGCTGGCCGTGACCAAGCCACCCCTGCAGGCTGGGAGGGCCTCCTGGAGGCAGGTTCCCAGTGGCCTGACCTTGTACAAGGAGACAGGGAGCCGCCTTGCAGGGGTGCAGGGATGGGGGCGCCCGCCCACAAAAATCCTGCCTTCATTTCTTCTAGCCGTGAATCTTGAGGCAGCAGCCCCGTGGCCTCCTCTTCCTGGCAGGGTGCATGTTCTCGGGGCCACCCCAGCCTCACCCCATCTCCCAGTAGCCCCGGGTGGCCTGAGTGCTTGGGTAGAGCTGATGAAATCACTTCCAGCTCTAGAGAAGGTGTCCACGAGCCCAACTCGGCCTGTGTGGTTCCTTCTCCCCGGCATCCACCCTGGCTTAGAGGGTCCCATGCCCTCGGCAGTCCCATCGGAGGAAGACCATCTCCAGCTCTGGGAGACTCACGCTTGCTGCAGAAACTCTAGGACCACTACAGTACCTGCGGCGACGGCACTCACACGCTGGTCGGAAAGCCTACACCAAAGTGAGGTGTAGACCTAACCGAACCGTTCCTGAAGCCCACCCCGAGATACCAATTCCTTTACTGTTTAAGCCCATCTACATCAGCCTTGCCCTGCGGCTGAGGAGGGGTGCTTCCTCTCCCTCACTCGGTCCCAACCTCCAGTGGGCCGGTGACAGGCACAGCCACACGTGGCCCTCCACCTCTCCCTGCTATGGGACAAAGTCGGCACCATCTCGTGTAGCACAGCTCACCAAACGGCACAGGAAGAGTGCCCTGCTGCTTAACACCCGCGTGTCCTAAGCCTGGGTGTGGCCCCTCGGGGTCCTTACCCCCACACTGGTGCTCCAGCCCCCCGCCTCCCAGGCCTCTCCTCCTGCCTGGCAAGCCAACGACGGACCACTAATTTGCTCGGCCAACACTTTCCCTTCCCGGCAGGACGGAGGAGGCACCTAGCCCCACTGACCGGGCCGCCAGGGCTGCTGAGCATCAGGCCGGCCACGCTGGTGGTTACGGGCTCCCCGGTCTCCCCTGCCCCTGGTGGCTCTCACAGCCGGGACGCTCAGCAGTGAGACAGCTGTGGGAACCAAGGGGCCGACAGGTGTGGCCCAAAGTGACCGCCTCCTCCCTGGTCTCGGGGAGCCCGCCAGGTGCTGGGCCTTTGCCTCACGGCCGCTGCCGCTTACCCATTGCTTCCGTGCGTGGTTTCTCCTCTTGAAGTACAGGATCAGCTTCTTCCGCATCGCCTGGTTTCTGAGCAGGAGGGAGCAACAGGCAGTCAGCTCGCGGGGCTGCGACAGCCCGGGCCCCATGCCTGCACCGCGCCCGGGAGGTATGGCTCCCATTGGGGAGGACGCACTATGACCCAGGGTGGTCCCAGTCCAGCCGCCGGGCCGCCTTCCTCTGCCCACCCAAGTGCCGAGAGGTCTGCGAAAACGCAGGTTTAAAGGAGCCAGAGCCCGTGCTCCTGGGCTGCCCCGTGCCCCATGGAGACTGGCCACGAACACTGGTGCCCCCGGGGAAGCTCGAGCCTATGACGAGGGCAGAGCCGGCCAGGCACAGGCTCAGGAAGCGGCCAGAGCAGGGTCCGGGCCTTCACCACGGGGTCCACACAAGGGACCGAGGGCGCTAAGGACAGCAGGCACTTCCAGGGAGGGTACAGGCGGTCCAGAGAGAGACAGAGAGACAGAGAGATGGGGCGGGGGGGGGGGCGGGCAGAGGCGGGGGGTGGGGCGGACAGAGTCTGCAGGGGAGAGACAGAGACAGAGGGAGAGAGATGAGACCCAGATGGACAGAAGGAGGAGGGGCTGGGTGAGAGGGACAGCCCGATAGGCAGGCACACACGCGGCACGACGGCAGGGGCAGAGACAGAGAGGCCAGGGACGGGCTAGAAGGGGGAAGCCAGAGAAGGGAGACGAGGAGGGAAGACACCCCACCTGCAGCCCCCAGAGACCCAGAGACGCCCACGATCCTCCCACACAATGCTGCAGCTGAGCCGGAGGCCTGTGGGACCCTGCTGCACCCCTGAACTGGCCTGTCCCACTGGGTGTGCGTGGCCCATCTGCTTTCCTGGGTCAGAGTTCTCTCATCTCCCACATTCTCCATGGTCCAAGCCCCAGCAAAACTCAAAACCATGGGGCGCAGTCCAGCCTCTGGAGGCACGGAGCATGGGGCTACTCCAGGGAACCCAGACACCCGGCCCCGGGGGACGAACACTCGCCCCATCACGAGCTCCCTGCTGATGGGCCAGAATCAGATCCCGGCTATGGAGGTCTCACCCTGGCCAGGACTATCCCTGCACCCCACCAGACACCCCAGAGCCCTCAAGAGAAGTCAGCCTGCCGACACCATGACCTCGACTCCAGGGCAGGAGACAGCGCGTCCTGTCACTGGCCAGCTGTGGTCGCCTGTCAGGGCAGCCCCAGGAAGCTGGGCCGGCAGGCACAGCTCCGGGGAAGCCTCCTGGCGGGCACGTGCGGCCTGCATCCCTCCCACGCCAACTGCAAGGCGAGGCTGCCTTCCAAAGCAAGCACAGTTCCTGGCCCCGGCACTCACGGGCTGCCCAGCAGCCTCGTCGGGTCGGCAGGTGCAAACTGGTACAGCCCGCCAGCCAGAGCCAGCCACGAGAGGGCCGTTTGGACGGAGGCACCTTCGGAACACGGCGGCTCACTGCCAGCGCAGAGGCCCCGGGCTGCTGGATGGCAGCTGCAATCTGGTGACCCGCTACACGTCTTGCCAGCCGAGGCGGGGAGCGGGACCTGGTCCCCAAGAGTTACGAGCTCGTCACTGACCACAGTCCCCACCACTCCCTGCTGCCTCCCAGCCTCTGCACTCTTGACTCTCCTTCCTGCCCTGGTTGCACGCACCTGGGATGGGCCCCCAGACTCCTAGCTCGGGCGTCGGCCTGCCCATATCCCCCTGGCAGGCGTTTCCTGGGTGTACCCTGTCCCACACAGGGTTCCGGGACAGAGACGCGGACAGGTCACTGCAGGGAGCCTCTGGCCGAGCTCACATACAGGAAGAGGAGTGTCTCTGAGGGGCTGGGGCCGGCAAGGCGGAGCCTGAGGGGCTGCCAGAGGCGTCTGTGGGATGTCTACACTCGGCTGCAGAGCCGGGGGGCAAAGGAGCACAAGCCATGAGAAAACAGCACACCCAGGGAGAAGCAGGGCCAGAGCCCATGGGGTTCTCCACCAGGAAAGCCGGAGGCAGTCAGAGGAGTCTTCCTGGAAGAGGGGTTAGAGCTGAGGGCTGGGAGCAGAGGGAAATGCGGCAAGAGCTGAGTTCCGGGAAGTAGGGGTGATGGGAAGTCTGGAAGAGTCCAAGGGATGTTCTGGGAGAGCCTGGCCTCCGATCACTCGGGAGGGGCACGACGGAATGGTGCATGCGGGCCCATGCCTCAGGAAGAGCCTGTCAGGCAGGGGTGTCTAAAATGTGCAGACGGGCTGAGGGAGGGTGCCCACCGCAAGGAGGGCTGAGCCTGCGCTGAACACCTGGGAGAGGAGGCCGTGGCAGTGCCGCTCCGGCTGGCCAGGGCTCTGGCTGTGGGGCCCTGGGGAGTGGCCTGACGTCTCTGAGCCCGCAGAGCGAGTCTAGAGACCAGCTCACGGCTAGCTGGGCTCTGACAGGTCACACTACCGCTGGCCCAGTCCCGGCCGGCCAGTTCCCATCGTACAACCCCAAACGGGGCAGCCGCCCGAAGAAATCAGGTTGGGAGACAGAATGTAAGAAAATGCCGAGGTGTACAAGCCAGCTGGTTCCCGGGCCCGAGGAGGCCGGAGGAGCAAGGCCAGGGCCCGCCGGGGAGGACAGGCACACCAGCCCTGGCCAGTGCCCGGCTTGACCCAAGAGGCTCGAGCCAGGAAGGGCCACGCACGCACCACCACCTGGGTCCCGCAGGCCTGTCCCTGCACCGCGGCCCGGCTAGGCTCCGCCAGACACAGGCAAGTCCTGTCGTGACCTCTCTGGCGCTGCCCTGGTCCCTCCCTGCTCCCCACGAGGGGCCGCAGCAGCTGCCCCCTCCCTGGCCAGTGCCCGGCTTGACCCAAGAGGCTCGAGCCAGGAAGGGCCACGCACGCACCACCACCTGGGTCCCGCAGGCCTGTCCCTGCACCGCGGCCCGGCTAGGCTCCGCCAGACACAGGCAAGTCCTGTCGTGACCTCTCTGGCGCTGCCCTGGTCCCTCCCTGCTCCCCACGAGGGGCCGCAGCAGCTGCCCCCTCCCCCATGGAGCAGAGCGCCCCAGCACTGCCCAGGCAGGCGGCAGGGGACGCAGGAGAGGCGAGGGCGGGTGACTTCCACACACTGCCCGAAAGCAGCCGGCGGGAGGC